TTACTACTATGGCGTAGTTCTGACGGCGGAAGCTGAACGTGCACCCTCTGGCTGTGCTCATACTTCGCGAATACGAGAACCGGGAGAATAATGCATCAAAGGATTAGAGAGAATTGACGGACCCCGACCATCTACCTTTTCAGAGAGCGCGGGATTTGAACAACAGGTCTTTCGACTGCCATCAGATTCTATGCTGTCACCTCTCCCGAGCCGCGGATTCCCGCATAGTATACACGGCCAACTGGCACAAAACTATCGAACAAACCGGAGAAAAGGTCCACTTCTGATACCGATCACGAGCTGACGATCGTGGTGTCATCATAAGTTGGAAACCCATCCGTTCCAATACATCCAGAACCTAAGTGACATACGGTTAGTGATCCCAAGTTTTTAATATACTACAAGTCAACTAACCATTCGAGTCTTCGAACGATGTGACATGCCGACGTTTTCTATACACCCATCTCGGCACATCACCCACAGCTGATTGCCGCTGCTGAAAGAATTGTTAACATTCTCACACGAGCAATCTTGACCACAACAGCACGTAATTGAAAGGACATGGGGAAGCACTTGGCTTCAACCAGAACCTTCTGTATGCGCCAAGGGCATGACTTTAAGTAGAGACTAATCATGCAGTTTGACCTATGCACCGACACGCAATGCAAAAATGTTTAAAGGAGATCTCCTGAGAAAATATAAATGATGGCATGGGAAAAGTGGTTCGCAGTGGACAACTTTATGCTAGTTTCACGGCGGAAAATCGTAAGCTAAAGTCGCCAAGGAGCGAAATTCCTCCAGTGACACCTCTCTTTTTCCAGGGATTCCGCCTACAGATTGCGTCTTCAAAGCCAGAAAACCATGCTACCAGACGATTAGAATGAAATGGGAGCTCTCCTGTGGGGTCGTCACAAGGAATAAAGTTAGACAGGCCCGGTGAACAAAAAAGAAGGACCAGGGTTGAATAATGTGAAAAAAATACTGTCGTAAAGCGGAACCAACAGCGAATAAATAACCCACTTGGCATCAATCCTGTTCTGTTTGTTGAGCATGACTTTCCCTTTCTGCATTGTTTCCAATACCAACTCGCACTCATCCGTCTTCTTGTTACCGGTCACATTGAAGCTGAAAACGAAATGGGAAAAATACGTTTATATGAGCCTTTAACGCAAAAACCACGAACTCAGTGAAAGAGGCAGCAAGCTGAATATACACGTTGTTCTCATAGACGAGTTGTGGACCAATTCCTGGCATTCGATGGATCGTACACATGACTTTTATTCTCATACACCTAAACGGCGAAGGATGCATACAGATCACACTTGAGGATAAGCAGAGATTATTACGGTAGGTGGTAGAGGGATTCTTAGTCGCACAAGACTGCTACGCTTTTAATATAGTTGATATCGCCGCAATCAGTCGGGGCGGTTTCACGAGGGGCGGAATGAGCCCGCCTATGGCTGTCTTTTTTTAACCAATAGTGATTGGTTAGTGATCGATTTAGGAAGAAAACAACTACTCATGGTGGGCTCATTCCATGCCTCCTTACACTGTAGTGGCCTCTCAGTGTAACCACTTGCTATCAGTTTCATCCCAATCAGCTTACGAAGGGTAAATCATACCTGTAGCACAATCCGTCGGCTGCCGTAAAGATCATCCCAGGCGTAATCGATATGACTTCAGCTTGCCAATCAGTCCATGATGATCGTCCTATATGGCCTTCTGATGCTGTTGAAAGAGCACTGGGACGCTAACATTTACAAATTACCATTCTCAAACAGGTTCTTCGTTTGTAACGAAAAAACAAGGAAGTGAATACGAAGTTTCACTCACATCCGACTGATTATCTATCCGAATTGGCGGTGGGTAGTATTCAGCATCGGTGAACGTCACACAGAATACCGCACTATTCAGGATCACTTCCACACGGACAAATCTTGGAGTCTCATCCGAATCCCTGAATCATTTTACAATTAATACCAATCTGAATACTAATAAGCAATGTTCGATGATGAATCCTGAAATAATTGAGTATTCATAACTTGGCACTTAGCGCGATTTTAAGTTGCGCCACACATTTCACTGGCCATTCCGATTCGTAATGGCATTTGATTGCGATTTGGTATGGTGATGGTTGGCTAGGATAGACCTATAGAGTGACTTGAGGGATTCAGGCAAAGTATAAATCGGCGGTTTTGATCCTTCTGGACAAATCTAGGGCTAATAAACCGACCATAGGGAGAATGGGATCATAGTTGGCTGAACGAATTTGATCAGTATCTGACTGTGTTCGAAACGACAGCATCATCTGGCACTGCACTATTACTCTCCATTTAGCTTTCAGCATCAGAAGGTTGGATTTCTTGAACACGCAGCACTTTCAACATGTGACACTAGTGATCACAAATGGAACACAAAGGGATAACTCGAGAATGCACCCTACTTGGTATGAATTCTGTAGCCAAACCCCTGCGCCAGGGTTTCGCATCCTTGGGGACAGCGAAATGGCGGCTCGTAATTCGGGGTCGGATAAGGGGGATGGGAGTCATGGTTGGCGCTGACGAGATTTGATCCAGGATCTGACTGCGAAAAGCAGCATCATCTGGCACTGCACTATTACTCTCCATTTAGCTTTCAGCACTCAGAAGGTTGGATTTCTTGAACACGTAGCACTTTCAACAGGTGACACTAGTGAGCACAATGGAAAACAAAGGGGAATTCGAGAATGACCTACTTGTATGAATTTGTAGCCAAACCCCTTGCCCAGGGTACAGCATCCTTCGGGAACTGAAAGGGGCTCGTATTCGGTCGATGAGGTCGTATCTGGCTTCGACAGGTACGCACTTCCGAACCGCACAAAATTTTTCCACTTGAAGACTTCTTCCGATTTCTCATTCGCTTCATAAGCGCACGAAAGCAACTAGTTTTTCTGGTAGCTGATTCGTGATACCTTCACCCCCTCCCCACTCCCACACCCCCGGAATATTGTAGACGAAAGTTTGGGAATATTCTGGAAAAATCGGAAAAGTGAAAGGCGATTGGGAAACTTCAAGAAGATGCATGGGATGGGGAGCGGGTGGGGACGGGGTCGTACCAGATGAGGTTTGGAAATTTGGGAGGGGGGGGGTCGTGCCGACACCGCCACTTCACATATGACGATGCTGTGCCATGCCCTTGCCGTAAATCTGGGGATTTTGAATAAGGTGTATAATTTAACTAAATATTTTTTACAATAACCAACTCTAACTTCTATATTAATTAATAATTATTGATATTTTAATGTACCTCATCGTAATATGGAACGATCCAATGCGATCTATGCGGAATGGGCAACTCCAATACCGTACGTCACTTCGACGTACACACATCTGCCGACAATCTTCATAATTCTCGTTCCACACCAAACTGCATTGTGAGGCAATATGTACATGCTCAGAAGCTCGCTGGAATATGACGATTCAAAGGAAAACGCTTTTTCTCGAAAACAGGTTACATTACTGCTGATCAGCGATTGCAAGTGTTTGGGGGGGGGGGGTTAGACATGAATATGTGGAGGAGCAATTCGGCTCAGTACAGGGCATTTTGCTGATTTCATCGATAACTAATGATACTCCCTGAGGGGACCCAGAAAATTCTTGTCAAACTGCGAACAGAATAAGCTCCGTTTATACTTGACAACAGTCAACAGGCCTCAACAGGACAGATGTGTAATCTACCAGGAGCCAGCCAGAGAAACCAGCGAAAGTGCAAAATGTCCCTCCCCTCCCCCTCTCCTTCCTATAGCGACCTGTACCGAACAGCACCTATGCGCGTGGTAGCGCATATATCTATAGCGAACAAAGCAGGAGAACCCGTTGAAAATGCCCCCCCCCCCACTAAGTACTGGTTGATTTCAAGCAGTAGACGAGCATGTGCTGAGATGAGAGGATCTGCGGCTTGCAGGATAAACCAAACAACCGCGAGCGATGGAGCATACTCTTGCACAAACAAAGCATGAATATCACTACATCACTGGGTGGAGTCAGACTGAAGAAGGCGCGGCCAGAATTGAATTATAGGCCCCTGGCTTTCTTACCCGGCACTGAACAAATGATTTTGCCAAACTCACATCAACGAGGTCATGGTGACAAACAGAAATGGCATACGAAGACTGATTACTGATCACATAACGAGGTGTGAGTAGAACCACTTGAGTGTCCTTGTACCGTCCCGTACCCGCTCGAACTTCCACACCGATGTTGTAATAACTAGATTAGTAGGAAAGTTATTTAATACCCTCTGGTCACTGGAACAGAAGAAAATTCAGGAAAAAAAACTGCGAAAGAAAACTCACAGAGTGGGCAGACTCTCATGCACGACGCTCAATTTCAACGCCTGCACACCAGGAGTAAGAGCAAACTTTTGGCTATAACGTGGCACATAGTATGCTTCTTTCGCTAATCCGCGCCCCACACGAACGACACACCTTAACACTTTTCTTTGAGAATGTAGAAAAAGAATTCGCTTCAATTAGAAAAGTGGGCGCAATTCGGCGACGGGGGGGGGGGCATTTTGCACTTTCGTTGCTTCACTAGTTCCGGTTTACAAGTCTCACTCTGGTGAAACCTGTGAACTCTTGTGAAGCTGGAGCAAGCTCGTCAAGCCATCATGGTAAAACCTGTCAACTCGAGAAGAGGCTGTCTAGATGGGTCGACACGTTGATGGGAAGTAGCAAAAGTGCAAAATGCCCCCCGTCGCCGAACTGCCTCGAAAAGTGAAGTTTGACCAGACTAGAGCAAAATGTTGTTCTAGTTTGAACAATGCTCACGAAGGCGTAAATGAAGTCTGTCCAGTGGACGTCCATGGGCGTCGTGCAACCTTAAAGGATAGAAAGCTAGTGTCTTTGCCATTATTCGATCCCTTCGTGGGATGCGGCCCGCATTCTACCTCCATTCGAAATCATAGGTTATTGAACTTTATTATGTGCCCCTGAATGGTCTGCAAACTAGCGCGGCCGCATCCCAATGTACAAAAACTAATTTCGTGGTTATCACTTTCCTTTATAAATATGCGTCACCTACTCAAGGTGCCACACTGTAACTAACCGACATTTCACCAGCGTCCCTCCCAAAAACTAGTGCTAATGAAGCACCATGTGGCGTTCAACCGCGCAAATAACAGATTCCAGGGTGTCTTCTATGTCAGTTCCAAAGATCAAAAGTAAACGCGTCCAGCCTGATCATCACTGAGCTGAAGTTCATCTCGAAGAGAGTATCTTGTACATATGAACATTAGCCCACCAGCGCTTTTCACGCATCTGATCTACGTTTCTCGTCAGAATCGATTACTACGAGCTATCCACATCGCTAGGGAAAAGCAGCGAACAGGCTCCAGTCTGCCCTCTTGACCGCCCTCCAACTGAATGCCGACGATATCATGTCATATCACCTCTTCACAAGGAACCCACAGTCGACCCGGCCGTTTGCAATGAATTACACCAGTGGAACGTGTCTGAGCGCTGACCAAATCTACCCTCCGTTTTTGCGGAACGATTCTCTGAACGGAGTTATGGGGCTTTTTCCACCGCATTTACCACGCAACAGGTCGAGGGATCGAATCCCTGCTGGGCTTCACTTTTTTGCTTCCTGCGCAAACGTGGCAAAATGTGGTTTTGCTTTCACTACTTACTCTCAGTCTCACTAATCTGCCTGAAAGAAAAACTTTGCGTCCATTTATAATGCGCCTAGGCCACCTTGTAAGGACAAAAGCCTCCTGTCAGTGCAGGAAAATATTGGGTTACATGCCGTCGTCGTGCGCGATACAGGCGTTTTCACGCTCAGCGAGTGCCATATTCGTGTTCAGCGGGTCAAAATACCTTTATACACAAGTTGCTAGCCAAATCTGGCATTTTGACCTGATTTCCATAATTGAACCATCCATGGGTTAGTTCAGCTGATGTTCACACCTATTCAGCTGCAGATACATTCTGCCTGCACAACGCCTTGTCTTGCACCTTCTTACGCATTCATTTTGTTACTGCTCCAGTTTTCCTGGTATCTAGAAGAAAATTCCGTCCAAAGACAGCAATCGACAAGAGACTGGCCCTGGAACTAGTGGTGACCACCATCGGATCAACTGCTACCGGACTTTTGAAGATAGGTCAAAACCTCATATCTGGCTAGAAACCTGTCCCCAAGGGTAATTTTGCTCCCTGAACACGAATATGGCACCCATTTGACGTTTGAATGCATTCTAGACTTAAAAGAGACATTCCCCACAGAATTTAAATGCAACTCCGTTCAGAGAATCGTTCTGCAAATTTCGAAGGCAGATTCGAGATCAGCGTCCAAAACCACGTCTAGTGAACTATATTTCATTACGAATGGCCACTTGGACCTGACGACCTTCCCTAGTAGTAGTGGCGACCTTCTCCATTCCTCGATGCGAGCTCTAGAAACGGTCATTCTCATTGGAGTTCTCATTCAAGTTTTCAGAAGGTGTAACAGATGGAGCAATGATCGCTTCTATTGTCAAATAATCAGAGATTCAGGTCAACTGGCCAAACAGAAGTGTTCTGGGGACTCGTATGGAATGTTCTGAACAAAAGCAAAAATGTTCGGAGTGTCAAGGATTCCAACATGCGACATCGTGTTCCTGAATCAGTGCACTTATCCACTAGGCCATCGGCGACCTGCCGTGAGCAACCATCCCTCTCAACTTATACAACGAGCAAAGATTTGATGGTCCGTAACTCCGTTCAGAGAATCGTTCCGCAAAAACGGAGAGTAGATTTGGATTCAGCGGCTCGAGATACGTCCATATACCTACTTCTCATTGCAAATGGCCGGGTCGACCTGTTGGGGTTCCCTTGTTAGAGAGAGGGTAGATTACTTTACAAGGA